CCCCGGACCCCTCCCAATGAGGGCCCACCCCAGCCCAGCCCAGGACCCTCCTGCGGGCCCGCCCTGACCCCAGTGTGATGCAGGGACAGCCGGACCCGGCACTGTGGGGCACTGTTGGCATCTGCAGGGGGGACCCAGAGCGGATCCCGACCCTTTGCAACCCAGCCAGGGGCGCCGGCTCCGGCCCTCGGGGCTTTATTGTGCGGCGCCCCGAACCCCGCGGCTGCGGGACACGCGGAGGGACAAGGGAGAGACGGGGGGATAAGGAAGAGAGACAGGAGAGAATAAGCGATAGGGAGAAGGATAAAGGAGACAGGGGGTAAGAGAGAGAGACGGGAGAGAAAGAGGCAAGACAATGGAGAGACAGCGGGAATAAGGGGAGCTAAGGGGGACAGGGAGGGGAAGAGGGGGCACAGGGGAGCAGGAGGGGAGGGTAGGGCAGGCAGGGTCGGGATGGGCAGGGAGGATGGAGGGAGAACGAGAAGGAAGAACAGAGGCAGGAGTCAGGGTTGGTAGGGGAGCAGTGGGGTACAGCGGGAGGGAGGTGTGGGGAGGAGAGCTGGGGGGGATTAGAGGAGGATCGGGCTGGAGAGGAGAGGAGGGGGAAGGACAGGGGCGGGCAGGAAAAGGGGAATGGAATGGAATGGAATGGAATGGAATGGAATGGAATGGAATGGAATGGAATGGAATGGAATGGAATGGAATGGAATGGAATGGAAGGGAATGGAATGGAATGGAATGGAGAGGAAAGGAAAGGAGAAAGGGGAAAGGAAAGGAAAGGAAAGGAAAGGAAAGGAAAGGAAAGGAAAGGAAAGGAAAGGAAAGGAAAGGAAAGGAAAGGAGTGGGGAGTCGAGATGCGTAAGGGGCAGGGAGGGGAGGGAATGGGGATCTAGGGAGGAGAGGGGTAAGGGGTAGGAGGAGGAGAAAAGAGGGACAGAGAGAACGTCACCCGAGCCCCGCCTGGGAGCCCGCACCGACCGCACCCGACACCTCCAAGAGCTGAGGCGCGAATGGCGCCTGCCGCGGCTTCCGGGGTTTAAATGCCCTCGGCCCCGCCCCGCGCAGGCGCCCTGGAGCCGCGCGCACCTGTGCCGGCCC